AGATAATTTGTGAAGGCCTGGAGGTAGTTATGTCATGCTGCAGGAACTGGAAGAACATCAAGATGTTTGAAGCAAGAATGCAAGAGTCAGTCTAAAAAGATACTTAAACAGTTTCATAAGTTTGGACTTCATCAGGAGACAAAGGGGGAGAAATAAAAGTCTTTCAACACAGAAAATGAAGAGAGATGTTTTGGATAAAATGAGATTCTGTGAATGATTATGGGTGGGAGATAAGAGAGAAAAAGGCATAGAGAAAGACGATTAGATCCTGGGGTGGGGTGGGGGAAGATATGGCAGGGCGGGTGGCGGGAAGTGGAATGAGAAACTTTAGGGGAAAAGAATATGATGAGTTTTATTTAGGATATGTTGGGTAAGAACCAATTGTGAGGCATCCAAGAAGATATTATAGGGAACTGACCCCAGGAATAAGGAGTTCAGAATGGAAATAATATTTTGGAAGATTTCCTATTCTGATTCATTTCCCACATTGCTTTCAAGTTTTCAAACACAGATCTAACTAAATGAAACACCTGCTTAAAAACCAGCAGTGTTTCCTCACTGCAAATATCTTTTAAATCTGTGCAGATCAAACTTGGCAGTCTGACAAGTCAAGAATCACTTAATATTTCTACTGTATACAGTTTCCCACTGTTCTCTGGACACATAAAGTTTGTTTTTACCTCTGCATACTTCTTAAAGATGTGTTTTTTTTCCTACTCCCACCCTCTTTTCAACCACAATAACTCTTCTTCACCTTTCAATAACTTTCCATTGCCCTCATGTTACTTTCAAGTTCTTTTAAAGTGGCATTTTTAAACAGCAGATCTCATTCCTTTTATTGATTATGAAATTAATGTAGCTGGCATGGCAACTAGAACTTGAAATAGAAAAGAGAATATCAACATACCGTATGTTAAGAAAATTAAGTACTGTCTTTTGAAACTTTCGCTTCAGTTATATATGTACATATGTATACGGGTTTTGAGTACTGATGTAAAGTGTATTTGCTGCAGTAGTTTATGATAAAAAATATTTGAATGTCATTATTCCTACTACTTTTGGTTGCTTTGCTATTATCTATCTCCCTAAAGAGAGAAGGCTTTAATTGTTCTTGTGGTTCTGGAACTATAACTGTGACTCATGTGGGTTCTTAGTCATTGTGAATACATACTTTATGGTAGATAATTCAGAAGATTTGCTGAAACAAGATCAACATAAAAATATAAAAACTGATATAAAGAAAAAGCATTATCAAAATATCATCATCAACAACAAATGAAAATACCTACCTGGGTGAAAAAAACTGATAAAATATTATCAAAGGACATGAAAGAAATGTGAGTGGGCAAATGCACTTATATATCATGACTCAGTATTATAAAGATGTGATCTCTCTCTTGACTTATAAAATCCTTGTCCTTTCAATCAAATTAAAAATAGCATTGATATTCTGTATTACACTTGACAAGCTAGTTTATTGTGTAGAGGAGTAAAAGTTTAAGAAAAACCACATGATACTAAGAAAAAAAAGTGATAATGAAGTGCAAGGAAGCAAAAGAATTAGTATATATAAATAACAATCCGAATAGCATTATTGTTTAAGAGCCAGATCAACAGAAAATTCTAGAAAGCACAGACCCAGACTCCAATATGTGGAAGGAGTCAGATTTGAGTTACAAAAAATCCATGTGCAAATAAACTGTATTGCAACAAATGGCTTTCCATATAGGAAAACATTAGATCAACATTCCACACAACACAGAAGCAAACCCCAAATGCATTCAATACACACACAATTTGAAAACAGAAATAAATATAAGCAAATAAACTGTTATCATGAGAAAGTTTCCTTTTTCAAAGTATGAAAACAACCTGATTATTAAAAAGGAACTTCCTATTAAAACCACAGTGGCCGCTAGTTAATATCCATCAGCTTCACAAATAATTTAAAATTCTGATTGTAAAGTTAAATGAGAATACAGGAAACAAAAATTCTTTTCCAAAGGTGGTGGGAACATGAATTAGTAAAAATTTCTCTAAGGCAACTGGCAAACTCTAATAAAGTTAAAGATGCATGTATTACACAAAAGAGCAAATGCGTAGGAATTTTAGAGAAGTTAGAGGTTTGTTATAAACTGCCAAGAAACCCTGGCACTTGGGTAAAATAATAATGCTGTGGAGCAAATCATTACAGGGGAATGACAAAACATGGCAAATTGTGTAATGAAATGCCATATAGTAGGCCTGGTGACTGAACTGTCATGATAATTAAATCCCCCAATTATCCTATTAAAAGCCAAAAAAGCAATCCTATTTAGCAGGGTGCTATTTATGTAAATTAAAAATGCACCAATTATATTATACTTACTTTATAGTTATACATATATGTAATTAAAGTATAAAATAAAGAACTACTTATTCCAATTTCATATCAGAACAGGAAAGAAAGTCAAAGTGGAGATTTCTTGAAATGTGAAGTAATAGGATTAAACACTTACATGCAGGACTCCTGCATGATTAGCACATGGTGCTTTTTACATTATCCACTATATTTTCCATGTTTTGACATATTTCACAAAACAAATTGGGCTTGGCATGACTTAGTCACATGATGCGTAGATGTTTCTTTACAATTACCTTCATTGGTAAGTCTGCAGGTTCCTCTACAATGGATTTGAGAGACCCAGTTAAAAGCAAACCAACTCTTCCCATATACACAACTTAGATCCTTTCTTTTTCCACATAAATAAAAAAGGCCTATTTACTAGTGTAAGGGAATGGAGCCAGGCTGAAAAACCTGTGGACAAAATGGACAGATTTTTGCTTTTTCTCTTTTTTTTCTTGGCATTCACTGAGGAGTGTGTTAAAGCTAGAAATTGGTTCAAAGGTGAGCAGGGTCAGGATAGTTAACAAAATCAGTAGTTTCCCTTGAAGAAATTATGTTAAATGTTTTTCCAAGAAAATGAATGGCTGATACAGAGATTGCTGTTATGCAGGCAATCATCAAGGAGCCAGGTCTGACCTCGCTGACCTCTTTGTGGACCACAATCCAACTTAAAAAAAGCTCTTCTAATTTGCATGCCTATCTATTCACATTGAAAATTTAATGAATGGAAACTTTAAAGAGCATATAATAGTGAGCAGAAACCCTAAAGGTATCAAAAGAACTAGCTTTTAAAATTACTATTACAGAACAGAACAAACAGTGAAAAGTTTTGTGTTCAAATGTTGTTGAATAATCCAGGAAAGTTGCCACCAGTACAGAATAGTGTATCAAGAAAATCTGAAAGGAAGTTTCTCTGGAAAAAAAGTTGCTCTGAATGGATACAGTGGGCTCTAGTTAATTGGAGAAACCATAAAAAATGTACTTCTTGAGAGTCTTACACTCAAGTAATACAGTATGGATGTTTATATATCATAAAATAAAATTATGCCTGAAAGGGCCCAGATCTCTTACTATACAAATGAAGAAACTCAAGCACTAAGATATATGGTATTTAAATTTTTTTCATTAGTAAAAATTACACATATATACTTTTTATGTCCTATGTGACAACTTTTAAAATTTTTAAAAGTATATTTATAACATCGTCCTTCATTTGTGTGCAATATATGATTTCCCCATGAAATTCCCACCACCAGTTCTCCTGCGCACCATCACATAGTTCCTTGTGATCTTTCTCCTCCAGATCCTTCTCCCTCCTCCCCCACTATAGAATGTCTCTGCTCTGTAGTTGCCTGGTGATTTTGATTTTCACTTTTTTTGCAGCAATTCTACTCCTAGGAATCTACCCTAAGGGCACAAAACACTAATTAAAAAGGACAGCTGCACTCCTTTGTTTATTGCAGAAAAACTTAAATTACAATAGGTAAACTATGGAAGCAACCCAAATGCCCCAAAATTAATGACTGGATCAAAAACATGTGGTATATTAACACAATGGAATATTACTCAGCAATCAGAAAGGATGAACATATGCCCTTTGCAGCAACATGGATGGAGCTGTAAAGGATTATGCTCAGTGAAATAAGCCAGAAAAAAGAAAAATCTCAAATGGTCTCATTTATAGGAGGAATGTAGAGGAACCAAATATGGAATCGGGAACAAAAAAAAAGTTACAGCATTTAATTTTTTCAAGTAGAATATATTCAGGAATTAACAAAATTTCCATTATCCCACTATATAAAACAATATTTGGGAAGTCTGTTTCAATGATCTGTTAGCACACTAACACAGCAGTTTTCATACAGAATCCTGTGACTGGAATGAGATGTCCCAGAGCCCATGGTAAAGGATGGGGATAGGATAGGGTGTGTTCAGGGAAGGACCCTTCCTCTTCCACTTGGACAGGTCTACTTTCAGCTAATTGATATATTGGGGTTCTGCTCAAGATTTCATCTTAAAGAGCATTCCCTTTGCTAAATAAAACTGCAAACCATTATAATTTTAGGATGTAGTTGCTATAGGTATGAGGCTTTGCCAAAGCTGATATGGTCTAATCAGCTCTACTTAAACCTTAGGGGCATCTGATGAATCTCATGGACTATGTCCTTAGAAACATTATAAGGCATAGATTTTTGCACCAAATTTAGTAAGTTTATAGATTTCTTAACATTGATTCAGAGATCCTAGGATAATAACACCAAGCCTGAAAGCTTTATCTAAAGGACAGAAATAAACTTCTGCTTGAATAAGAGAATTTGAGAATAAAATAAAGTACATTTGGAAAATATGGATCATTTTTAGCACAGCATGACTTGTAGGACCAGCTTTTCTCATGTAATGGAAACCAAAAACTACCCTTGACTAGACTTGAAGAAAGCTACACTCTTGCTGACCACACTGTTCTTTAGAATCGTTGATTCATACAACAGACATTTATCAAGAACAGAAGACAATGCCAGAGCAAATCTAAGTGAATGCTTCACATACTTGCTTTTGAAACACTGCAGATAAAAACAGGTTTTATTCGCAAAATTTACCACTTAAACTCCCTTACCTGGGTGCGGTCAGGCCTGGCTGACTGAGGCTGTGGTTGTCTGTTAGAGCTTCTCTTAGCCAAGCTGGCATTGAAAGGTTCAATTAAAGTACAGTAGGGATGTGCAGGGACATCAGGACTACAGCACCAAGGGCTGCGAGTGGGGAACAGTGTTGGTGGGATTTCCTTTTCTCTGTTAAAAAAAAAAGAAATTGGCCCTCCCTGGTGGCGCAGCGGGTTAAAGCAC